AATTCGTAAGTTGTGCTTTGCATTGAATATGAATATGCGTATGGGTAAATACAGGAACGTCAAGTATCGTTGTTTACAGACGTAACAGAATTTACGACATCTTTCTCGATCTCAATGGCTGTCTGTGACATATACTGAAATAGAAGTCATTTTCTCAGTTTTATTGTTATTTCAAGATGCCAAAACCATTTTTTCTTATGCTGGATACAAAATTACATATGGAAAACTTAAGAGCTTTAAAGTCGCCGATGACTAGAGGAACAGCTGACGAGCTACCTGTGCATCTTGCAAACCTGTCCTGCTTTTCGGGTGAGAGATAAAAGATTTCTTTCCCTTCTTTAGACCGGTCATACCTTTGGGAAAGGAGTTAAGCAGCGGCGAAAATCAGGTTTTTGAAATCAGTGACAGAAACCATTGAAAGGCGCTCATATTTTGCTCTTTTTTCCATCAGATTCCATTTTTCAGCTGAACAAATTTCATGTTCGGAATCAGCATGAAAAGAAAACTGAGTCGACTGTTATGCAAACGAGAATTTGTGCTTTCATTTTTGAGTGAAAATTTCGATTTAAATTAAGTAACTTATACATAGCTTTGTATGTAGAATCAGAAAAAAATAGTTTGGGAATTTAGATATCGATAAAACGCAGAAATCAACTTATTTTTCAAATCTTTATACGTTTTGGCCTATTTTGAAAAGATCAATATTTTAGAAGTTTTGCACCAAAAAATGACTTCTGAAAATCAAAAATTGGCTTTTTTCCAGATGACTGAATGAACTCTGTCGAACCATTAGAAAAAAAAATTTAGAATCATGAATTGCCGGCACCTTATATTAAGGCATGTCTGCATTGTGCTAAGCACAATATTCAAAGATCAAAATCACTAGGGCATTTGCGATCGTATTTTCTAAAGAAGTTATCTAAGTCATTGCTATGGACTTTTGCGACTTAAGCAAGAGTTGAACCTGATGCAGGCAATAATTAAATGTTGGTGGTCACTAGCAATTACCTAGAGTCGGTATTACGAAGACGTAATCTGATAATAAGATACACCGTCATTTCCGCGTACGACATTACCGCGAACCCTCATTACCGCTTAAGTTCTTTTCGAACTTATGTGCCACGGACCTCATAACAGCTAATAACCAATGAGGTGTCTCACCTCAATCATCGAATCGGGTTTCAAGTTTTGGCACAGATACCTGGCTAAGACGATATCTCAGATCGGTAATTTTTTTCCCTTCCTTCCTTTTCCTTCTCGAGATATAGTCGTACGTAAGACCTAGTATATGACTTTTGAAAACACATAAGTGGAAAGAAAAAGTCATTACCATTTTGAGATATCGCTCAAGTATCCGAATTAATAATTTTGGCCCGAACGAATGAAGTTTTTGCGGGGTCGCGATACGCCAGTTGGAAGCATCAGTGCTTTTAGCATTATAGATAGCATTGAACGGATCATTTAGTAAGGGCATTGCGGCGATCATGTATCCACGCGAAAACCACTGAGAATGATGGAATGTCGCATTGTGAACAAAATATTTTGCTGGAAGACTATGTAAAGGGTAAACTTTAAACGCACTCTAAATGATAGAAAGCTTACTGAAACAAAACTTTTGAATTTTTCTTACTTCCTGAGCAAAAGTTCAAAACTTTTAAAAAAGAAGATCGTCGACGCTGATCGTGGTACTTAAGTAGCCCGGTTGTTGCTTTCCATCAGGCTTTGTTCAACTCAAAATCAAGAACTTTTTCAAAAATGAATAATGAACGAAACTTGTCTCCCCCAGAATTAGCTACCAGCTTCTGATTGAAAATCTTCATAACGATGGTATAATCAAATTATAATGCTAATATTTCATGAAAATATACTTTATCTTCGTAGTATTTTATTTATTTATTTACAATCAAGACGTTTCGATCGCCATGTGCAACCTTCTTCAGTAAAACATAAAACTAATAAAATAAAAATTGTTGTATATACGATCGAAACGTCTTGATTGTAAATAAATAAATAAAATACTACGAAGATAAAGTATATTTTCATGAAATATTAGCATTTTAATTTATCTAACTTCGTATAATAAAAAGACCCTATTCTACTTTTAAAGGTATAATCAAAACCGCAAAAAACTGGCACCATGGTTTGAGAATTGAAATTCCGTGAATGTCATACATGAAAATGTTTTCTCTAATTCTAATTATGTCGACAGACATATTGTGTTTTTGCTGTGCAAAAATGTTTTTTTCTTTTTTTGTTTAGTCATCTTTCTTGCAAAATGTGCTCGACGTGATCTAAGGAACTACTTCTGAAAACGAAAGGATATTCTTTGTATACTGTAGATTGACAACTGCACGTTCTTTTTTCAAACACAAGTACAGATTCGGCGCCATAAGCAACACAAGTGGAAGAAAGATCTGTTTTAGACTCAGATAATTATTATTGTTATTTTTTGTCCTGCGCCACTTACTTAGAGAAAGAAAAGCAATTTTCTCTCTTTTTCAAATTTCATCCGTTGTTCTTTTATATTATAAGCAGTTCAAAGACTAAACTAAAGCAAAAATGCAATGCTCTCAGCCTACTGATAGAATCTGCTTGGAGCAGCAGGTTCAGTCAGAGACAGAGTCTGTCGACATCGCAACTTGTGCGCAGCGCAAATGCATTCTAGTTGTTGTTGTTTTTCTTGTTTAGTCACTTTTTTTGCAAAATGCGCACTGCGTGATTTAGCGAACTATGCTACACAGAAAACTTCTGAAAACGGGAGGATATTCTCTGTATACTGTAGATTGACAAGTGCACGTTTTTTTTCAAACATCAGTCCAGATTCGGTGCCATAAGCGGCACAAATAGAAATAAATGTTTTTTGGACTTTGAAACTTAACAGTTGATTGTCCGACGCACTTGTTATGAAATATAATTCTCTCTTCTTTAAATTTCGTTCTCATTTCATCTTTCTTAAATCTATCTTTTAAAGCAACTGAAATCACAACGAACGTGATGTGGTGAATTTCCTATTGACTGCGGGCCGTTTCTGGCAGATTCAGACTGGATACAGTCTGTCGACATCGAAACTTGTGCGCAGCACAATTACCTCTCTAGTTTTGTTCTTGTTTAGTCATTCTTTTTTGCAAAATGTGCGCCACGTGATCTACAGAAGTACGCTACGCTACGTAGAAAACTTCTGAAAACGGGAGAATAATATCCCGACATTGGAGATTGACCAATGCGTATTTTTCTCTCAAATAAAGGTCCAGATTCGGCGCCATAAGCTACACAATTGGAAGAAAAATGCGTTTTGAACTTACATAATTATTGTTATTTTTTGTCCGGCGCCAATTAGTTTTTCTCTCTTTTTCAAAGTTCGTTCATTGTTCTTTTGTCTTATAAGCATCACTTCAAACAGTAAATGAAAGGAAAAATGCAATGCTCACAGCCGGCAGATAGGATCTGCTTGGAGCTGTAGGTTCAGTCAGAGACAGAGTCTGTCGACGTCGCAACTTGTGCGCATCGCAATTACTCTCTAGTTTGATACTTGTGATCAGCATTATCGAATTCATATAAACCACTACGTTTACTTGAAATCCGAGCAATTGTATTTGAAGTTCCTGAATAGCACTTTAGAAAACAAAATTTTTGAGGGTCTTTGATTCCGTGTAGTTTTTCTTCCGGATGGTAAATGTAACGTTTATTTTTGATCATAATATTCAAAAATATTGTGACATACTATGTTGTACTGTTTTATAATTATTTTAGCTTTAACAACCACATCAACATTAACTAGCACAGGTAAGAAAAAGGCCGTGAACAATAGAATCTCTTCCTAAGAAAATAACAAAGCATGCTATTTCTTCTTGCTTTGAAGCAATAACTACCACAACAACTAGTAAGTTCAAATGTTCTCTGCTTATAGAATGCATGAAAGCAACGATAAAATCATCTCCCATCTTTTAACTACATTACTAACTCTTATGAAGATTCGTCTTTTCCAAAACAAACTCGAAATAAATTAGCGTTTCTAAAAAACCCCAGAGAAATAATAGGCAGTGTAATAAAGCCCTGATAAATTAGCTTTTCTAAAAAAATATGATTAATAAAAGTTATACTGACGTTTCTCTAAACCTCCTAATTATCGTTGTATTAAACATTGTTCCAATGCAGCTAATTTTGGTCTGTAAATCAACGGATCTGTAGAAGTTTTTGTCCCATCGAAAAGTTTTAATGCAGCTCTTCTGCCATCAAAAAGTTGTAATGAACTGCTTGTACCCTCAATGTCATTTTAACAGAACTCCTGTTAAAATTTTTTAATGAAAGTTCCGGTACTTTCATTAAACAAAAACGCTTTAAAGAAAGTTTTTTTAATAAAAGTCACCCAATTCAAAGTAAGTGGAAAGAAATATAGATGTTCTGTACCGAAAACAAAATATGTTCAAAACGTCTCTAAAAATTGTGTTCATCTAGCAGTAGTAGTAAATAATTAAAAATCAAAGTACTTACATGTATACTCTTGAGAAGAATTCTTTTCGCTTTACACTGAATCAATTGAGGGTAGCAGTAGCAGTGGGTCTCTAACAGTGAATCCACACGCAAGTGTGTTAAGTTTGATCAAGCTGATGGAATCGACAAACGGTAAGTCTTGAGTTCGTAGAATTTACGAGCCATTAGGCTACTATCTAGAAAGACAGTAAAGTCATAAACACAATAGAAGACCTCTAGTTAAGTAATAACGCAAAATGCACATTAGAAGACACCCATTTAATACCAGCTCGGAACGTTTTCAGAGCAGAAACCTGCTGCCTCAAAGAAGTCTTTCTCAAGCAGACTTTCCAGGCTGCCTGACCGGTTCGATTGGATGCTCGAACCCATGTGGTAAAATGCACTTTAGAGTCTAGAATCACGCACTAACTGCAACTGAGTCGAAAAATTAGTAACGCATTGGAAGACATCCTCTGAAAGTTGTGTACGCTAGGTTGTGTACGCTTTTCCACTTACTAGATTCCACATGGATGTTGTTCTCCTCATCGTCAACGATAGGCAGCACACAAACACTACTGGCTCCTATCATACCGTGTGCAGGTGCTGCGCTTACTGGACTTCAGGGAACTACGGTTGGGGGCTTCTCTGGCCAAGGTGAAGGTCCAGACACGCTAGATGCTCCGGTTAATGTTGCACTAACAGCAGCACTAGTTTACATAGTTGACACCGACAATCATCGTGTTATGATGTACACGCCACCTGCTCTCACTGGCGTAATAGTAGCTGGAAACGGAAATGCAGGTGTGGAACCAGCTGCGATCAACACTCCCTACGATGCAGTTATACTAAGTGCGAATAGTCATATATTAGTGTGTGAGAAAAATAATTCAATTATCTCCGAGTGGATCAATGATGCATATGTGCAAACAGTGTTTGGACAGTCCGGCAATAGTGGAAATACGATAGCTCTATTAAATAATCCGCAGGGTCTCTATCTGAAAGACCCTGATCAGCTGTATATCTTGGATAGCGGAAATTCTCGAGTACTGCTGTTTGATTTGACAACGAATGTGACTACCGAGCTAATAAGTAAGTTAAGTTAAATTACTCCGGGTTACGCCGCCTAAACTCTGAGGAGACAGAGCAGTTTCTTGCAAACTTCTCTTTATTGTATTTCTTATGTACACTTTCAGCTAGTGGTGTCTCACCTGAACCCACTGATCTCTATGTCGATGCAACCAACAATATTTACTTAGGTGACGGTCATCAAATTAAAATGTGGTCTGCACCCACTTTGTACTCAGCATACACAGTGGTCGGTATTGGTTTAACTGATATTAAAGGTATCTGTGGTGATCAAATCAGTGGCTTTTACTACGTTGTTGATGGAAGTGCAAACTGTGTTAAACGTTTTGTTGTCGATGGGCCAGAGAGCTATGGTACTCTACTTGCTGGACAGTGTGGATCGGCAGGTGCTAAGACAGACTTTACATTGAATAATCCTACGGGATGTGCGGTAACAGCGGATGGAGGCCTGTTGAATGTTGCCGACACTGGTAATAGCAGAGTACAACAGTATGACTTAACCTTATGTAACTGAAAATTGCTGTTTGCAAGAACAAAGCTGTTTCTTTCTGTTCAAGAACAGAAGGAATAAATTTTTTCATTTTTAGGAACCTTCACTTTTAAATTACCTTGAAAAAACCGAGAAACTGGCATGTAAAAGAAATACATTCAAAGTTCTGACTCTTCTTCTTCATTTTTATTTGTGTTATGATTCTAATTTTCTTTCTTTTTTTGGCTGTGGATCATCATTTGTACGTGATTTCTTTTAACGGCAGTTGAAATAAATTCGATACCTCTGATCTTTGATCTCGTCCATTTGTATCTAACTACCAGCTGATATAGACGAATGTGACCATCGGTGAGTGTGTTGCAGGTATAGGCCTAAAGCATTAAGAAACAAAAGAAAAACCTGTATGTCAGAAACTAATTGGGAACGGATGTTAGAAAGAGGCGTTACCCGGGGTCCGGCGCACTCTTCGAAGCAAGCTATACGGCTACAGGTTTTTTCACTTGCAGTAGTTCTCACACCGCGTATGTCAAAGAACATTTTTAGATTGATTGTGACTCACAGGAGAGTTTTAACAGAGCTATATTCTAAAGTGTATGTTAGAGCTGGAATCGATCCGGCAAACTGGCACCGGACCGCACTGGTTGAAAGTTTCGAACCGGCTGGTTGCGCTGATTTTTCACTGATTGAACAAATTCAAAAATTAGCAGCTTTTTAGTGGATTTTTTTCGTTGTGAAAACATTTTTCAGATTTTTTCCGAAGAAAATAAACCTTCAGACACAGTTTCATTCTATTTTTTCGGCGAAAGTACTTTTGCAAAAGTAATTTTCTTGAAAAACCGGTAAAAACAGACCGGTTTTGAACCCGTTAGAAAAGTGCTTTAATATCGGCCGGTTTTTACCGGTTCAAAAACTCTTTTCAACCAGCCCGGTTCAAATTGTCAACCGATCGGGACGGACCGGTCGAAAAGATCTCAACCGGTTCCAACTCTGCTTCACTGAGCTATTAGCCGTTCTCTAATGCACTTTTTATCTCTATTTTTCTTCAGAACAACGTAGTGTGCCATTTTTTCTTCAGCTACACCATCTCCAGTCTGCAATGTCGCCCTGCAGAAAGGGGTGTTTCCACCCCTCTCTTCAGCAGAAAACATGACGTTCTTGTGGAAAAACACCGGTTTCTTCAGGGGAAAACACGAAGTTCTCGTGGAAAAACGCCGATTTATTCAAGAAAAAACACGAAGTTCTTGTAGAGAAATACCGTTTCTTCAGTAAAATGCATGAAGTTCTTGTGGAGAAACAGCTAGTGGCGGATCCAGGGGGGAGCTGGAAGTAGCTGAGCTCGCTCTAGAAAATTTAGCACTGATAGCAAATTATTTAGATGGCGAAGCGTCTGAATGGTATCTCAGCAATATGGATGATTTGGACACATGGAGCAAATTTTGCACCGAAATAGCTAAAACATATTCATCACCAGCAGCGAAACAATTGGCAGCACAACAACTGCAAAGTCGCAGACAAGGGTTACAGGAATCATTGATGCATTATTATAATGACATTCTTCAGTTATGTGAAACAATGGACAGTCAAATGACAGATCAATCCAAATTAATTTATTTATTACAAGGATTAAAGTTATCATTACACAAAGAGGTAGCACGTCAAGAACCGAAAACACCACTGGAATTTATTCAAGTTGCACAAAAAGAAGAACGTTTAGACCAGTCGTATA